GGGGGGGAGAATGGGGGACTCGCTCCCACGGGGAGTGGTGGGGGGTGAGAATAGGGGACTCACTCCTGCGGGGAGTTGGGTCGTGGGGGAGAGGCGACTTAGAAACAGGGTTAGCCTCATTGAAGGGTGGCTCTGGACAAACACATGAGAGGCGTAGGGCCATAGACTGACGTTGTTGGGGAGAGGCTAGCATGGAGCGGGAATGTCGATGTGGAGTGGTCACCCGAATCCGGCCCCCCCACCCTGCCCTCTCTCCAACCAGGTGCAAGTTGTGGGGGAGCGGGTTTGGTGCGCAGGAAGTGGGCGAACTCACTGGAGAAAATGTGGGGCACCATGAGGAGGGCGTTGACACGGATCTTGGCAGAGAGGCCCATTCCCAGGCCCAGGAGGACAGCGATGGTGATGGTGGTGACCAGGCAGTACCACAGGTTGTACTCCTGGATGAAGAGGACGAACAGGCCGTAGACGCTGGTGAAGGTTATGCCGAAGAGTAGGCCGCCGGTGCTTCGCAAGCACTCCTTCACGACATTGTCCTCCTCGATGCGGGCCTGCTGCGTAGGCCGAGGCTTGGCCTGTGCTCCTAGCAACTCATCCGCCCGCTTCCAGCACTCGAACTCGGGGCAACAGAGGCACAGGGACTCAAAGCACATCTGGGCCCGGCGTTTCCTGTAGACGGTGTAGCGGGCTTTCCTGGGGCGGCCTGTCAGGATGTAAATCCACTTCAGGACGAGGATCCTCAACTTCTCCTTCCAGGGCTCGGCCTGTCCCCGGTTCAGCCTCTTCCAGGCGGCCCTCAGGATTTTATTCCGAGACGGCATGTGGCCTGGACAGGGAGAGAGAGGAGGGGGAGCGGGTCACTCTGGGCGGGTCACCACAACTAACCCTCCCCCCACACCGCGCACCCCCCCCCCCCAACTCCCAACGCCGTGCATCGCCGGGATCCTGCACCGATATTCCCCGTGCTCGGCCTGCAGCAATGAGAATACAGGAATCCGACAGCGCCCGCTCCTTCGGTGCTGACCCTCCAACAGAGCCCGCTCCCTCAGCGCTGACCCTCCGACAGCGCACGCTCCCTCGGCGCTGACCCTCCGACAGCGCCCGCTCCCTCGGCCCTGACCCTCCGACAGCGCCCGCTCCCTCAGCGCTGACCCTCCGACAGTGCCCGCTCCCTCAGCGCTGACCCTCTGACAGTGCGGCGCACCCTTAGCAAAGCTTCGTCTACTCTTTTAAACTGAAAATAAAGCAACCTCTACACTGTCCTCCATGAAACACTCCCAGGACAGGGACAGCACAGGGTTAGATACAGAGTAAAGCTCCCTCTACACTGTACCCCCCCATCAAACACTCCCAGGACAGGGACAGCACAGGGTTAGATACAAAGTAAAGCTTCCTCTACACTGTCCCCCCCATCAAACACTCCCAGGACAGGGACAGCACGGGGTTAGATACAGAGTAAAGCTCCCTCTACACTGTCTCCCCCATCAAACACTCCCAGGACAGCATGGGGTTAGATACAGAGTGGAGCGTTAACCCTGTGTCCCTTTGGAAACCTCCTGGAGAACTTACTCCTTTTCATCCCGTGTCCCGACCACCCTCTCTGCCCAAAGGTCCCTCACTCTCCTCCTCTCCCCCACACTCTGGTTCGCTTCTCTGATGCTCGTCAATCCACGCTCTCCAAACCCTCCACTCCCGGCCGAGCGACACTCCTGCTGCTGGGGGTACGGTTTCTCCCTCGTTCTGGCCCTCCCCATCCCGCCGCCCCACTCCCTCCCTCCCCCCAACCCCACCTTCTCGATCGGAACCTCCTCCCTCACAATTCAGAATCCCTCGATCCTCAATCTCGTTTTTGATGTCCGAGCGGTTCGTGCGAGATGGGGTTTTAGACTGACCCACTTCCTCATTTATTTACCTCTTGGCCTACTTTGAGAAGCGGTGAGGTGGAGTGGGGGGTGGGGGGCGTAAATTCTTTTTAGCCAATGGCCGTGTTTATGCCCCTCCCCTCCCCTCCCCCACTGTTATGACATTGTCTCCCATCGAACCGAGCCCCAATCCTGAGCAAATTCCCCTCTGTCCTTCCTGAAGCGCGTGTCTGTGATCTCTGCTGTCTTCAACAACTGACCCCTGCGTTCGACCACCGCTCTCCCCTGACCCCTCTGGCCAATGGCTGTTCTAGAATGCCCAGACAAAAGCCCATTGGCCATTTCCCCTCTCCAAGCGATGTATCCACCTCGTCCTATTGGCCGGTGGAAGGTGTGCGGTGTGTTATTATTTGAAGATCTCAGGGTGTTGCCTGGAGACAAGGGGAGCAGATTAACCGAAGGGTTCACATTGGCTAACCCCAGGCCCAACCCCAACGTCCATCCCCTTCGTAAACCTTTTGGGTCGTAGAACTGCACAGCACAGAAACAGACCCTTCGGCCCAACCCGTCCGTGCCGACCCAGTTATCTTGTATTAACCTAGTCCCATTTGCCAGCATTTGGCCCCTATCCCTCTAATCCCTTCCTATCCATGTCCCCATCCAGATGCCTTTAAATGTTGTAACTGTACCAGTCTCCATCACTTCCTCTGGCAGCTCGTTCCATACACGCACCACCCTCTGTGTGAAAAAGTTGCCCCTCAGGTCCCTTTCCCCTCTCACCTTAAACCTATGCTCCTCCAGTTTTGTACTCCTCCTACCCCTGGGGGAAAAGACCTTGTCTATTCCCCCTATCCATGCCCCTCATGATTTTATAAACCTCTATAAGGTCACCCCCTCAGCCTCCGATGCTCCAGGGAAAACAGCCCCAGCCTCTCCCTGTAGCTCAAACCCTCCAACATCCTTGTAAATCTTTTCTGACCCTTTCACAACATCCTTCCTATAGCAGGGAGACCAGAATTGATGCAGTATTCGAAAAGTGGCCCCAACCAATGTCCTATACAGCCCCAACATGACTCTCCCATCACCTTTATCACCAGATTTTAATGAAAGGGTAACAGAAAGGATCATTGAGGGTAACACTATTAGAGTCATAGGTTCATACAGCACGGAAACAGACCCTTTGGCCCAACCAGTCCATGCTGACCATTGTCCCAAACTAAACTAGTCCCACCTGCCTGCTCCTGGCCTATAATCCCTCCAAACCTTTCCTATCAATGTACTTATTCAAATGTCTTTTAAATGCTGTAACTGTACCCACATCCACCACTTCCTCAGGAAGTTCATTCCACACACAAACCACCCTCTGTGTAAAAGGTTGCCACTCGTGTTTTTTTTAAATCTTTCTCCTCTCACCTTAAAGATATGTCCCTTAGTCTTGAAATCCCCTTCACAAAATCATAAATGCGAGGTGCTGCATTTTGGGGAAAGGCAAACTAGGGCAGGACTTTATACACTTAATGGTAAGGTCCTGGGGAGTGTTGCTGAACAGAGAGCCCTTGGGGGGCAGGTACATAGTTCCTTGAAAGTGGAGTCGCAGGTAGACAGGGCGGTGAAGAAGGTATTTGGTACACTTGCCTTTATTGGTCAGTGCATTGAGTATAGGGAGTTGGGAGGGTCATGTTGTGGCTGTACAGGACATTGGTTAGGGCCACTTTTGGAATACTGCGTTCAATTCTGGTCTCCCTGCTACAGGAAGGATGTTGTGAAAGGGTCAGAAAAGATTTACAAGGATGTTGGAGGGTTTGAGCTACAGGGAGAGGCTGCGGCTGTTTTCCCTGGAGCATCGGAGGCTGAGGGGGGACCTTATAGAGGTTTATAACATCATGAAGGACATGGATAGAGTGAATTGACAAAGTCTTTTCCCCCAGGGTAGGGGGAGTCCAAAATTAGAGGGGCATAGGTTTAAGGTGAGAGGGGAAAGATTTAAAAGGGGCAACTTTTTCACACAGAGGGTGGTGCGTGTATGGAACGAGCTGCCAGAGGAAGTGGGTGGAGGCTGGTACAGTTACAACATTTAAAAGGCATCTGGATGGGGACATGGATAGGAAGGGTTTAGAGGGATAGGGGCCAAATGCTGGCAAATGGGACTGGTTCAGTTTAGAAAGGAAGAGGAATCAGCGATACTTTGTAAGGGGGACAGATATGTGACAGGAAGGAACAACAGGAGGGGGTGCTGTGGAGAGAGTGGGACTGATTGGAGGGCTTCGAAAGAGATGGGACAGAGCCAGTGGGCTGAATGGCCTCTTTTTTCATGGCAGGCTGCGTCGTTCTAAGGGGTCACTGCCCAGCAGTTCAAAAGGAATCGCCTATTTGTTCCATCACAGTGAGTTTGTCGTGTCAGAATGGAGCAGATTAGGTTCTAGACCCTCTGGGAGATTCGCCAGAGCGGGTAGTAATGGTCATGCTCTGAGCCCGAGGAGAGACAAACTGAAAGGGCAGTGTACGCAGGGGGGCGAGGGAAAGAGAGCTGAGGAAAATGAATGGGAAGACAGAGAACAAGAGAGCACAGGGCGAAAGATGCACGAGAGAGAGGAAGAGAAGGCAGAGGAGGGCGTAGGAACCAGAGCGGCCGAGGGAGATGGAGGGAGGGAGGCAGAGCCAAGAGAATGGAGAGTGAGGAGACAGGTGAGGGAACACTGAGAGCAGGGGAGATGGAAGAGTATGGGCAAGAAAACGAGGACAGGGAGCCAACCGAGGACATGTGGGACGAGGAGAATCGAGGGGAAAGGAGAGGGAGTCGAGGCGAGAGGAGACGACACAGGAAGAATGAAAAGAACGAAGCAATGGAAGAGGCTGGAGAAAAGAAAACAAATGGAAAGCAGAAAGGGAAGATCCCACATTCAAGTAAGCCATCTTCCAATGTAGTCAAAATCTTTTGAATTGTCAGCAATGAATGCCAAGGGTGTGGGAAGGGGCTCTCTGGCTCATCAGGTCCACACCCAACGCTCCCAACAGCATCCCAGCCCCATCCCTGTAACCCTGCATTTAGCATGGCCAATCCACCCTAACCTGCACATCCCTGGGCACTACGGGATAATTTAGCACGGCCAATCCACCCTAACCCGCACATCCCTGGGCACTACGGG